GGCATTTTGTTATGCTTTTTTTCATGGTGTCCCTGGTTTCTTTGTTCCATATTATTTTCTGTGCTGAGCTCATTATGTTTATGAATCGTGTTATCATTTCCTTTGTTGCTGTTGTTTTAGTATATGCTGAATATTTGTGCTTGTCCTCTTTTTGTTGTGATGTGAAGGTTTATCATTTTTCTTTGAGGTTACCCTATGATTTATAATTTTCTCCCTGAGTTTAGTCTATTCTATCTTGCAACTCTCTTAACTTCTTCACCATTTAGAAGTTCTGTGACTACACAGTCTTTTTCCTCTTTTTGTTTGTAGTTGTCATCACTTGCCAATTGATATCTCTTGTTCCCTGTTTACAATCTTGTAAGCTCATTTTACTTTGGCTGTGTCCATAGCTGTGGTTTCTGGGATATGTCATCTTGTGTATTGATGGTCGGTTATTATTTGCTAATTTTCGTTCTCTGTTCAAAGGATTCCCTTTAGCATCCCTTGTAAGGTTGGTCTGGTATTAACAAATTCCCTTACTTTCTGCTTCTCTGGAAATCTCCTAATTTCACCATCATATTTGAGGGACAATTTTGCCAGGTATATAATTCTTGGTTGAGTAATTTTCTCTTTCAGGGTTTTATATATACCATCCCATTGCCTTCTTGCTTGCATAATTGCTGCTGAGAAAGCAGAGCTTATTCTTACTGGTTGTCCTTTGTAAGTAACTTTTTGTTTTTCCCATGCTGCTTTCAGGATTTCGTCTTTGTCTTTGGTTTTGATGAGGTTGATGATGATGTGTCATGGTGATTTTCTTTTGGGGTCTATCCTGTTTGGCATTTGTTGGATTTTCTGAATGGATATATTCTCATCTTTCATCATATCATGGAAGTTCTCCTCCAACAAGTCTTTGACAGTTTTCTCAGTGGTTTTATTTTTGTCTTCCTGTTCTGGAATTCCAGTGACACGTTAAGTTATTCCTTTTGATGGTATCCCACATGAACCTTAGGCTTTCTTCATTTTGTTTTCATCTTTTTTCAGATTGATACCTTTCCAAAGAAGTATTCAGATATTTGTCTTCAATCTCATTAATTCTGTCTTCCATTGCATCAATTCTACTCCTTTGCCCTTCCAATGGGTTATCTCTTTCTGACAATTTAGTATTAATCTTTTGGATTTCTATCTGTAGATTCAGAATCATTTCTAATTTTTCAATTATTTTGTCATTTTGTTCTTGTATTTTCTTCCAAAATTCTTCTAGGTTTTTTTCCGTGTTTTCTTTTATCTGTCTCTCAATCCTTTGAAGATACCTAAAGATAATTCTTTTGAATTCCTTATCAGAGAGTTCCAATGCTGCTTCTTCCTCAGGGATGTGTTCTGGGTCTGTATCCTGCTCCCTTGTTTCTCCCACTTTATCCTGCTTCTTTGTGTGGACTGTGATGCTCTGCTGTCTCGCATCGTCATGTCATTGTATTTAAATCTCTGTTGACTGTTTGTGAAGAACAGCCAAGGGTGATTCAGGCTCTTCTTGGTGGTTTTTTATCATTGGCCCGTTGGTGGAGAAGTAGGTAGTGGCTCTTGCTCAGTAAGTGAAGTTGCAGGAGGTGTGGGTGTAGTTGTGTCTTATGGGGACTGTTCCTGTCTCCCACTCAGTTAGACAAAAATTACAATTGAATAACCATAAAAAAACTAAAAACACACCGTGTAATCACACAGGAACGGAAATCAAAAAAAGAAAAAAGGGAAAAAGAGGAAGAAAAAACAAGAAAATCTGTGATATCTGGGGATAGGGCACTAAGAGAAAAAAGATAGAGGAGTCAGATTCCAACTCAGTGGAGTTTGGTTTGGTTTGGAGTTCAAGGAAGATAAGAACTGGTGAATTTGATCTGTGCCTATTTTTCTTTCAAAGTTGGTCTTTATATATTCTGAGAAATGATTAGTTTCCTGTTTAGTCTAGAATGCAGTTAGGAATGGAATTTGGAAAAATTTGGGAATAAAGAATAATTGTCATATTAGACCATCATATTAAAGAATTTTAGGAAAATTACAGTTTTCTAGAGGAGTAGACAAGGTCTTATTAAAAGTTCCAAGATCCTATCCCAAATTTATTTTGAGTATGTCTGTGCTCAGTGCTGTGGATGGATAATCAATAATTAAAATTTTAATTTTAAGCTAATTTTGAGTTTAGTTAAAAGTTAGCAAGCATTTGGTTTCTCATAAGCCAGATGTATGAAATTTTATGTAAGAGAATTTTGAATTTAGGATTTCCTAACCTGTCACATTCCATAATTTCATTTTATTGACATTTTGTGCTTTGAGTTTCTGATTTTGCTCTTGGTCTTTTCTAATGTTAAAAGCAGAGTACCTGGTTGTTTTTTAAAGCTATTTTTAAAAAATCAAGTACTTTTTCTAGATACCAGTTCATTTATTATGTAACTCCTTAGGACACCAATGTATTTTTTTAGTTGGGGCTAAAATGGTGAACACAAATACAATCTACTAGATTAAAAAAAATCAATTATATTTAATTAATACACATTTTTAAATTTATAAATATGGTTGCTTTAGTTACTGGCGTTAGTGTACTATACTAGGTTTATTAGGTAGGTAATAAGTAACTCTCCTTCTGGAAAGGACAATTTTAACGTGTGTAACTGGAATATGTTCATACATGTGCAGAAATATATGCGTATTTACATAGCAAGGTAAGGCTCCTTTCATTGAGATCAGAATGAAGAAATATGTTCTATGGCAAGCTGGATAGAAGCAAAATATGTGAGGAAAAATATAAGCATGGTGTTATAGCTGGTTTATGTCTTCTTCCCTGTCTTTCTTAGGGCAGAACGTTTTTGGGGAGCTTGATTTTTGAAAAGGAAATAAAAGTGAGAATTAAAGCAACCTATCAAGATGGAACAGTTATTGCTCAGGCTGAGTATGGCAATGTAGATATAGGCGAAGAGGTGGCTAAGAAAGGATTTGCAGAAAAATGCAAACAAGCTTCCAGCACTAACATCTGTGAGGAAAAAAAGTCAGATACTGGCCAGCTTGCTCTCAGGAACCTCAAAAGTCCCATTCCCTTGTGGGGGCATCGATCAAACCAATCAGCCTTCAGCAGGCCAAAGGGACGCTCAAATGGGAGGCTGACTCTTGACTTGAAGAATGAAAATGCAGGAAATCATGTGACATTTCCAAAGTAAGCCAATAGTGGGGTTTTAAGTCTTAACTAGTTTCTAACGCGTATTAGAGGCCCTTGTTAAAGTAGACTAGAAATCAAAGCTTATTATGCTTTTTAGTCCTTAACTATGTCAGTGATTTAGGATGATAACTTTGTCAATGACTTGGGCTGATAGTAATTTTTTATTTCTATTTTTCTCAAACTTGTATTTCTTTAGCAGAAATATTTTTAGTAAAAACCATTTTGAAAGAAAATCATTGCTGAATTCTTTAAAATTCACTTGTCAACTATTTTGAATACATTTATCAAAAATAAAAATCTGCACCTAAATTTGAATTATTCAGGCAGAACCACAGTTTTAAACATGTTTGAATTTTTTCCTATAAGAATATCTTAGTGAATATCAATGGATTGCCTTTTGTTTTTTTAATAAAAGCTCCTGTGAAAATTTATTGTGATGGAATCTAACTCCTTTATTCCTAAAGGAGTTCAGTTTTAGATAATTTTGATTTATAAACTTAAAGCAAAAAGCTAGATTTTGATGTTTTTATGTACTAAAATGTTTACATACTTTTGCCATATGATCCATGCCATGATGTCTTGGGTGATATAGCTGGCTTTTTGTTGGGATCTTACCAGTGCTTCTGGAACTAAACTGTCAAATGGGGTAGGAGATTGGGGAAGAGGGATTGGAAGAAACTGATACAGGAATGCTTTTTTTTTTTTGTAAAACTGCATTTGTAGGAGTTGATAGTGCTTTGAGGTAGTGAAATATATTTTCTCTGAGAATTAGAGCATTGTTTTTGAAGTATGACTTCAGTTATAAAAGGAAGTTTACATTAAATATTTTTAGTGTTAAACCAGGTTAAGGTTTTAGATTAGTTTCCAAATTAACTTCAGAATATGTTGTGGGTAAAAGCCCAATTTAGTTTAGATTTCTGATCTCTGTTAGCTTATACAGTTTGGTTTTTAAAATGAGTAAATTTGTTTTTAATAGGGAAAGTTTGACTGCCAGTGACTTTAACTTAGGGTCCAATGTTAGCCTGGCAAAAATTAAGCAGGATCAGAAACTGATTGAAGAAATTGAAAAGCTTAAAACAGAAAAGGAGGTTCTTCTTGAAAGCTATAAGGCATTAGAATTGAAAGTAGAACAGACTACGCAGGAGCTGAAGGTATGTAATGTCTTAAGGTAAAGACAACTGGGAAATATGTTTGCTCACCTATTCTTATTGCTTATTTAACTTCCTGTTACTTTCCCATTCCTTTCTTACTCCCCCTTTCTCTTTCTTTAGCTAAAATTTTTTCTTACATTCAAAAATAATAATTTTTGAATTCCATTGAATTGCATCATTTACGTTTTCTGTTCTTTTGAAAAGTCTTCACTATGTAAAGTTTCAAAAGTTTACAAAAATGAGAGTTACGTAATTAACCCTGATGTACCCACCACCCAAATTTTACAATTATCAAACATGTGGCCAGTCCTTTTTTAAATTTTTTAAAATCTATATACCTCTTGAACTATTTTAAAACAATAAATCCCATTCATAATATTTCATTGCAAGTGCTTCAATGTGTCTCTTTCATAGAAAAAGAGTTTGTTTTTAAACATACCCACAAAACTATTCATACTTAAAAATTAATAGTAATTCCTTGATGTCATTTAAGTGATTCTTTCCCTCAGCATTTTATAGTTCTTATCCAAATGGATTAACACTTTGTATTAGTACCTTGCTTTAATAGTCTTCTCAAAACATACAGTGTAGTTTTCAAAGATACAATAACTCTTTATTTTCCCAATCTTATGTTTTAGATTTATGTAGTCTTCTTTTGAGTAATTATCATAACAAGTACAGCTGATAAAAATGTCTTCAGGAACAAATGTAACTGATTTTTCTTGATTATGCCGCTCAACAGGAACGGAAGTTTATGAGCATAACTGAGCTTTGGCTACTGTTAATAAGTATTCACTATTTTACTGAAGGGTTGAAGAATATGAAGACAAGAGAAGCATAGTGCTTAAATATTGAGTTAAAGTTTGACATTAAATTATGAAATAGCTAGTTTGTAGTGTAATTGGGATAAAATTGCCAGGTCTTTATGTTACTGCTCCGTACATTATTTAAGGAACATTAGTGTCACAGTGATGAAGTGCTTGGCTGTTCGCCTGGTTGATGATTTGAACCTACCAGCTGGTCTGCAGGAAAAAAGACCTGGTATTCTGTTCTCCTAAAGGTTATGGCTTACGAAATTCTGTGGGGCAGTTCTACTGTGTCATATAAGGTCACTGTGAGTTGGAATCAAATTGACGGCACACACAATAACAACATACATTATTTTGGGTACTCATGGTAGACACGTATATGGGAAATCATTAAGAAGCAAGCATATTAATCTATCTTGGGTCAAGGAAGTGTTATTTTTGTAATGTAGAGAACCTAAGACTTCATCAGAAAACAAATTTTCATTGAAAATCATTTGGGATTTTTGGTTCTCTGGAGACCTTTTATTTATTTTTTTAACAAATCTAAATATTAAAGATAAAATATGTGAAATTTAATTTCTATTTGGCTTCTTGTTAGGATGAGATAAGAGAGTCTCCAATTTGTGTGAAGGCGGAGAACTGAAGCAGATTATCTTTTTCAGATCCCAACTAATAGGGAAATCAGTATTTATTATTCTTTGGCCTAATTTTTTTCTTTTATGTTTAATAATGTCTAAGAAACTATTTAAATAATAGAAATATAGTTTCCTAACTGGGTCTAATTAGCTTGTGCCTGTTCTTTTTTCAGCAAGAGAAAGCAACTACTTTGGATTTGGCTAAAAATTTAGAAAGTACTCTAAAGGTGCGTGTAGGCACCAGAATGAAAGATCTAGCAGCTAAGGTTGAAATATTGAAAGAATTTAGGTAGGTAATGGTATATTTGTAGAAGAATAATTTAAAATAATTTCTTATAGTTGATGCTTTTTTTAAATTATGTGCCTATCATGTTTTGCTTTGAAATTTAATCTTTGTGTTTTTATGACTTTGAAGGAAGAATCTAAAAATAGTTATTCTTGAGATGAATTTATAGTATTTTTCTCAGTGTTCTGTCACTGCTGGAAACTATAGTTTCCTAATTCATCTCGTAGAGTGAACTTGAAAAAAAAAAAAAAGAACAAAAAAACCTCACAATTTGTAAGTGTTGGTTTGTTGGGAAACTACCATGTCCAGTTGTTTTGCTTGTTGTTGTTGTTGTTGTTATGTGCTTAGGATTACTTTAAGGGCTAATCTCCAGTATCTCTTTTACTTTATCTAAAAAAAGAATTTATTATTTGCAAAGTGATCTTCAAAGAGTTAGAAGAAAAGAGAAATTGATTAGTAAGTTGTGCACAGAGTTTATTTAGCATTTCTAGAATTTTATATTTGAATTATGCCAATATTTTTACCCTAGCAGAGGGTTGCTTTATTGTTGGTTAGGGATAACGTGTCATGCTTTTCTGGAGTGAAGATAAAATAGTTCACAAAGCAATCTACATACAAAACTCAAACTAGTTACTCATTTTCTCATGAAGTTTAAAACACTAAAAGGGTGTTACCTTGAATGAATACTGCACATTGGTCATTTATTCAATGGAAGTTTATATTTTCCAGAATAAATTCATCACTTGGCATCTGGTTTACCATTCTTAAGAGTTTGAGTAATTTGGTCTCTTCAGAACCTAATCAATTTTGAAGCACTACCAGAAATCAAGCGGCACACTTGCAAAGTTTGTGAGTCAGACTTTGGACCAAAATGACCCAATATATTTTAATTCATATTTGAGGAAAGAATGTGCCACTAGGATAGTGGTAATATATTTGTAAACTAGAAAAAGCAATACTTTTGGGCTTTGTTGGTTTGGTAGTTGGCCTGCACTGTGATTGCATTTGTAAATTTAGTGACTGCTTGTGTTGTTGTTTGGATGCGGGGACTATGTGCCTATAGTCTTATTAGCAAGCAAGATTGGCTAAATTGAAATTTTTTAAAAAAAGTTTTTGCAAATCTAAGTTTAGGCCAAAAATCCTTCAGAATTGCAGGTCCACTTGATGTCCATATAATACAGTTTGGTAAAGTGTGCAGGCTTTTATAGTTGTCCTTTTATATAAAAGTTCAAAAACATGCCTTTTTATAACCAGTGTTGTAAATACTAACTCTAGACAATTACTATTTAAGCATAAACTTTTTGCTCACATAGATTTTCTAATTTCTTGTATTTTGATCTTTTCCTTTTTACTACTTTTTTTTTTTTTTTAAATAGGCGTGTGAACATCAGTGTTCGTTTTGGAGATGACCTTTCAGATGCTGTACAAGTATTGGATGAAGGATGCTTAACTACCCCAGCCTCTTTGAATGAATTAGAGATAATTTGGGCAGAATACAATCTGGCTCAGAAGAAGATTCACATTTGTCAGAATGTGGTGGGTTGACAAAAAAAAAAAATTAAGATTCTTATCTATTGCACATAAAGAGATACTGATCTTTTGAGAAAGCAGTAAAGTACAGATACTGTAATAGACTTTGTTTGAAGTCTTTAACTTTTTATAGTATTTTCATATTATATCATTTAATTCCTTATTTGACCTTGTGAGAAAGGTAGAGTAGATAAATGATAATTGTGGACAAAGTTATAACAACTTTTTTCCCCCTTTTGTATGTGAATTTTACCCTTTGTTGACTCCCTATCTTTGTTTCTTTGTTAATCTGATAAAATGATATTTCAGCCATGTTACTAGGCAACATTGTAGTAAATATAACACCTGCCTGGAAATTGCATCTGATCTGTGAGGAACTTCAAATTAACTATAAAACTTGATGAGGACTCTTGCAAATGGGCATGCTCTTTGAGGGACCCAGGATGCTGTTCTTATGGAATTGTTAGAACAGACGCATTGGCTTTTGAGGGGCATGAAGCTTTTAAGCCTGGGTAGCTCCTACATCCCTAATGTCCATCTTGTCTTTTGATCCTAGTGGCATGTTTTATGTTGCAATATTGGACTGTTAAATATCATCCAGGCCACCTGTTAAGAGGTGGTTTTTGAGGGTAGGGGAGGGTCATGAAGAATAAAATATTTCAGATGAGTTCTTTATTAGCTTAGATACGTGTGTGTGTGTGTATTTTCCGTTGCAGATCTCTTTAGCTTATATCTAGCTGAACAGAAATCCTTGTTTTCCCTGTAAAAATATTCCCTGCAACAATCATAGCAGCTTTGATGAGCTCTATACTTACTGGGTTTAGAGTTGTTCCATCTAAAGTGTTGGTAGTTTCTGCTTCTGGATTATACCCCAACAGTCTACATTCCCTGTTTATACCCAGGTTGGCCAACTGGCAACCTAACTGGCTTTGAATGAGAAAATTGAACAGAATAATTAGGCCTTTGGAAATGTCAGGAATCATTTAGTTTGGAGAAGGGTTTATATTTGGTTATTTTGTGTCTTAGACTCTAACTTCTGATTATGAAAGAAAAAATGAGGGCAGAACTAATAATTTTTGAATCTCTATAAAATGCAGGTAATGTTATAAGCACTTTATAATTTTTTTCTTGTTTTTAACTTAAAAGTTAAAAACAAGATGGATATTTTTGTCCCTATTTTATTAGTGAGGAAACAGAGGCTCATAGGAATTAAGCTCATAGGAATTAATGTTAATATGTACTTTGAATCCAGATCTGTCTGACTATGAAGTCTATTATCTTTCCATTTAAATGACATTGCCAAATATGTTAACAACTTTATAATGTGTTTTAATGTAATTGAGATGGAAAAGAACTGCTTCTTTTGCTTTGCTTTGTTTTATTTTTGTGGTTTGAGCGTAAGAAAGTGATTCAAGGCAGTGAGGGAGAGGGCCTAATGTATTTTAGTTGTATAAATAAGATTTTTTTAAAGCAAGTATTTGTTTTTACTGTTGCTGATATTTCAGGACTGACTTCTAGGCTTCATTGTCTTGAATGTAATTTGATATACTGAAAAGCAGACCATTGGATGAATATGGAATCACATGCAAATGAAGTTCCATTTTGTTTCCTTATTGTACTTAATTTAGACTTCTTATTTTCATTTATATATTTTGCACAGTTCTTTAACATGGTTGCCACATTTTTTTTTCTTTTTAAATGAAAGAAATGAATTTTTCTCTTGTGTTTATAGTTTTAAAATAGTCTGGTTCAGCTTAAGCAAGAATGAATATCCCAAAATCCATGCTTTTAAATGTATGTTCCGTTACTACCACAGGTGGTAAAGACAAGAATTTGTTTAAGACATGACCCTATCTTTATCTTTGTTGGGTGCAGGACAGGTATATAAATAGATGATTTCAATATAGTATGTTAGGTATTACAATGGAAATAATGGATAGGGTTGTTGGATCTCTCTCACTTGTGTATTTGGAACATAGCCTCTTGGGAGAATTGGAGGTTTTATCCTGGTAGAATTTAACTGAATCGTGAGGATGAGTAGATGAAGGGGGAGTTGAGGATGGGATGAGAGTAGAGGGAGGTAGTGTGTAATAATGTTGTTGTTTTTAGGGGCAATTGAGTCAATTCTGATTCATTGTGAACCTGTAGGACATAGTAGAACTGACATAGGGTGTCCTAGACTTTGATCTTTATGGGATTGGATTACCTGGTCTTTTCTTCACAGAGTTGAGTGGATTTGAACCGCTGATCTTTTAATTAGCAGCTGAGTGTTGAACCATTGTGCCAGCAGGACTCCCTGGATTATAGGATCTTATAATTTTCTCAAGAAAATAAAAAATTTCATTGTTACAGAAATAATGGGAAAAAATAAAGTAGAACAGGATTATTGAACTTAAATGTCATTTTTAATTAAGGGGAAAAAGCTCTGTCATTTTGTTGATCTAATGTTACTATGTTTGGAGAATGTAGTGTTGAATTTTACTTAATTTAAGAGATACTTTTTTTTTTCTCCCAAATATAGACCAGTGTATAAAGAAACACCTGGTGTATTATTGATAGTTATTATTATTTTTTTTCTTTCTTCCAGAATGAAGGGAATATTTTGATTGCTAGAAGAAATGAAGTGCAACAGAAGCTTTACAAGGCAGTAGAAGGTTTTATTCTGGAAGTAGATGAGTTACCTCTTAATAAACGCTTGAAAACATTGCAGGTTGGAATTAAAAATGAGTTAAATGTAAATTAATATATAAGTTTAATATGTGGGAAGTGAAATTAGCATTTTTCTTGAGTTTTCCTTCTCTTTACTGAATTCCAATTTCTTTTTAATGGAGTTAAATTTTATATTAATATATTTAATAGGTTTGTTTGTATGTTTGTCTCTAGATAATATGGTAAAATGACCAGATACCTAGGCTTGTTAGAGCAACATTCATTGGGGGAAACATGTGGAGACATGAGCAGTAGCAGGCATGTGGACCTCAGTTGCCCATTGCATTCTAGCAGAAAATCTAGTAGGGCCATATGCCTGAGTTAGAGAGAGGGACCCTGATACTTGAAATATGTAGAGCTTTTAAGCTCCATAATTGTGTATGTCCTACCCTATTGTTACTACAGTTTAGAGTCCAATAGTTGTATGAGGGGTGTTACCTTGCAGCTAAACAATGGCACTAATTTGGAGTGAAGGAGCATGACAGTGTTAAGTTGTTCCATCTATTAACATTTTATTTCTTTATATTTATTCAGATCTTCTTTTTATCTCCTTTAACAATGTTTAAAATTATTCTTTAAAGAGGTCACAAACATTTTTTGTTCATTTAACTCCTAAATATTTATAATTTTGATTCTTTTTTGTAAATACGCTCTTTCCATTTTCTAGTTATTTTTAATGACGTAAAAAACTATCACTGCCATTGAGTTGGATCCGACTTATAGCGACTCCTGCTTGGGTTTCCGAGGCAGTATCACTGTGGAAGTAGATTGCCTAGTCTTCCTTCCAAAGAGTGGCTGGTGGGTTTGAACTGCCAGCCTTTTGGTTAGCAGTCATATGGCTTATGCATTATGCCACCAGAGCTCCTTTTTTTTTTTTTAATTGTGCTTTAGGTACAAATTTACAGAGCAGAGTTTAACATTCAACATTTCATGTACACTTGGTTTCACTCTCCAATTACCATCTCCAGCCCTAACCCACTCTCCTCCCTTCCCCTCTCTTCCCGGTAACTCAGCCCCATGCCCCTCATAGTTATGCACTCCTGTGTGTCCTGCATTTCCTCCATGTGAATGTTGCCCCTCTGGTACCCTTTTAATGACATAGAAGAATATTACCGATTTTTATGTATTGATTTCTCTCTGAGGTGTCCCTGCTGAAGTCTTTTAGTTCTCATTTATCTGTTAATATTTTTGGAGTGTTCTATGTGGACATGCCATTTTTAAAAATAATAACCCTTTTACCTCTTACTCATCTACCTTTTATATATCTGAATATCTACTGCATGATTTAGCATCTTTAGTACAGAATTGAATAATAGCTGTGATAATTAGTAGCCTTGCCTTTTGTAGACTGCAGGAAGTGAGCTTGATGAAAAACTGCTGAAAAACTGCAAAACAGGGATATTTGGTCACTTTTTATCCAGCAGCATGCCAGTGTAACTTTGATGATGATACTGTGTGTGGTTCAGGGACCATTGCAGTCCTAGTCTGAAGGATTTCCTTAAGTGGAATTGTATAAATAGCATTAATTTTTTCAAAAATGGTGAAGTAAGCCTTTGATATAAAAGGGTATTAGTGTAGTAAAAATTTACCTTTCTACAGTGCACACCTTTACTTTGCATAATGTCGTTGGCAACTTTATATCCACACTGGGGACTTTGGGACCCAATTTGAAGTTACATGCTTCATTTGTTTTGACATTATGTAATCATCATTTTTTTCATACATTTTTGGAGAGTGGTTAACTAAATTGAGAATATAAGCTAATATTGTATGTGTGCATACTCATATGTACTCCTGAATTCTTCTCATCAATTTTTATGATAGATTTTGACTTAAATTCTATTTTGTCTGATAGTAATATGATCATCTCAGTTACTTTTTTGGTTACTGTTGGCACTGAAAATTTTCATTCTATCCTTTTACCTTCAACCTGTTTCTTCTCACTTTGGGTCTAAAATGTGTCTCTTGTAGATAGCATATAGATGGATAATGTTTTTAAATCCATTCTGCCAATCTCTGCCTTTTGATTGGAGGGTTTAACCTATTTACATTTATGGTAATTAGCAATAAGAAAGGACTTATTTCTATCATTTTACTATTTGTTTTTGTGTTTTGCACCTTTTTAAGTCCTTTTATCCTCCAATGCTACCTTCTTGTGTGCTTAGTTTTTTTTTTCTTTTTTTTTGTAGTGACCCATTGTAATTCCCTTCTTGTATATGTTTTTCAGATATTTTCTTTGTAGTTACCATGGAGATTATGTTTAACATTCTGAATTTATAACAGCCTACTTTAAACTGGTACTAACTTAACTTTAGTAATACACAAAACTTTATTCCTGCTCTGCTCTTCCCTTTCCCTGTTTATGTCATTGTCACAAATTGTGTTTTTATAAATCATGTGCCCACTAACATAAATATTATATTTTATGCATTTGTCATTTTAGCTTAGTGCCTAAGGCACTTGACTGCTAACCAGAAGGCTGGTGGTTCATACCTACCAGTCACTCTTCAGAAGGAAGGTGGGGCAATCTACTTCCATAGTGATACTGCCTCGGAAATCCAAGGAGGGGTCGCTATGAGTCGGGTCTGACTCGACGGCACATAACAACAACAGAGTTACAAACCAAAAATACCATAAATACTTCTACTGGAGATCTTTTTTTCCTTCATATGATTTTAAGTTAATGTCTAGTGTATTTTCAAGGACATAACATAACTGTGATAACAAGTTTAATAACAGAGAATGTGATACACAGAAATGAAGACATACAAAAGGTGATGTTTAGGAGGGGTCCCAGCATGGGTCCTCAGTGTGTAACAGGAGAGACCTGCTTACATCTTGAAAGAGACCTGCTTACCCTTCCTGAAAATTAATGTTCATTTTCACCCATCAGGAAATTTTCAAACAGGAAACTCAATGACTTCACTGGCAAGCTTGACTGTTGGCTTGCTCCTCTTAGTTCTTGGCTGAGGTTCACTCTTTCTACTCTGCTGTTACCATCTGGGTCTGCTTTTGGCTTTGCTTCTTCTGGTACCATTGTGGTTGGTGTCTCTGTCACCATTGCAAGTTTACTTGGTCTTGGAGGTTCATAGAGCAGTCCCTCCTTCTTCCTTAACCCCGCAAAGGAGGCACTCCTCTCCTGGTTCTTGTGGATCAGAAGGCCCCTTCTGAGCCTCCTGGTTCTAAGATTTCTGTAAGTCACCAGGCAGGTCCCCTACCCAATCTGTGTAAAGGTTAATTATAGGGTCGGGCCTTCCCAGCCAATTTTAGGAAAGGTCAAAATGCACAAGGCCCACCAGCCAGTCCAGGTAGAGGTCGGATTGGTCAGGGCTCCTCAGCCAATCTGGATAAAGGTTGGTTCCTGAGTGGAACTCCCCAGCCAATCCCAGTAAAAGTCAGACCAGGTAGGACTTTAGAACCAGAACCAAAAGGACAAATAGTTTATTTTTAGTAGGATGATTCTACACCATGCGCTCCCTCTCTCCCACTTCTAGTAACCACTGATAATCTTTGGTTTTTATATTTTTCATTATTTCATATAAGTGAGATCATATAGTATTTGTTCTTTTGCATCTGACTAATTTCACTCAGCATTATTACTGTCAGTGTTCATCCATGTTGTGGCATGCATAAGAACTTCCTTTCTTTATGGCTGAGTAGTATTCTGTCATGTGTATATATCACATTTTGTATATCTTTTCATCTGTTGATGGCCATTTTGGTTGTTTCCACATTTTGGCTGTTCTGAATAGTACTGCAGTGAACATTGGTGTACAAGTTTCTGTTTGTGTTTTCTGCTTTCACTTCACATTTGTCTTTTCCACAAGTGGACTGTTCTACTTCCTGAGCTTTATTCCTAGGCAAAAGCTGCCATTTTGATCTTGTATGATTGATTATTCTAAGGGGTGCATACCTCTCTGGTGTTACTGTTCACCTAATAGGCCTTTCTATTGTTTGGCTGAAAGTTGAGCCTGGGGGTGAGCTCAGTTCCAGGGTTGAAGGGTAACTAAGGGCCATAGTCTCAGGGGCTCCACTGGTCTCTATCAGACCAGTGAGCCTGATTGCTTTTTTTTCCAATTTTTAAAGTTGCCTTTTTAATTTACATACAGTAAAGTTTACTCTTTGTTGTTTAGTTTTGTAGGTTTTGACAAATATGTATGTCTTGTGAGTACATCCCCAGTCATGATACAGGAAGCCTGATTGCTTTCATGATTTTGAGTTATGTTCACATTCTTCTCTCACTCTATCCAGGACCTTCTATTGTGATCCCTTTCAGAGTTTTTGGCAGTAGTAGCCAGGCATCATCTAATTCTTCTGGTCTCAGGTTTGTGGAGGTTGGGGTTTATGTGGTCCATTAGTAATTGTTTCCATGCATCTTTGAATTTCTTCAGTCTTCTTTGCTCTGGACAGGGTGAGACCAAGAGTTGTGCCTTAGATGGTTGCTCACAAGCATATAACACTCCTGTCACTACTTACTAAAGTAAGATACAGCACATTATCTTTGTGGACTGTGTTATGCCAGTTAACCTTGATGTCCCCTGAGACTATGGTCCTGAGCCCCCAGGCCCAGTGACTCATTTCCTCAAGGTGTTTGGTTATGTCTAAGAAGTTTTTGTAATTTTGCCCTCTGTATGCTCTACTATATTCATGGATGTATTTGCAATACATATAAATATATATGTAGAAATATCCACTATCAAATGTATATATATTTGTGGGCATAATCCCATTTGCCTTTCAACTTCTTTTCAGCTTGTATGCTTATGTATCTACTTGTAGATTATTGTTATTACTGTTATTGCAGGATTGTGTATGTAATACTATTTACTTTTGTTGCCCTTAACTCTTGTGTTTTTCACAATGTCTTCCCTTGCATTTTTCTTTTTATGTTGACCTTCTCCTTAATATATATTACCTTTCCCTTCACTCAATCCGTATGCTGAGCAAATAATCTGAGAAGCTGGAGTATATGAAAAAGAAGGTGGCATCAGGATTGAAGGATGATTCATTAACAATCTGTGATGTGCAAATGATACAACCTTGCTTGCTGAAAATGAAGATGACTTGATGCACTTACTGATGAAGATCAAACACTGCCGCTTTCAGTAGGGTTTACACTTCAATGTAAAGAAAACCAAAATCCTCACAACTGGACCAGTAAGCAACATCATGATAAACAAAATATTGAACTTGTCAAGGATTTCATTTTACTTGGATCCACAATCCAGTGTCCATGGAACAGCAGTCAGGGAAATCAAGCATTGTATTGCATTGGGTAAATCTTCTGCAAAAGACTTCTTTAAAATGTTAAAGAGTAAAGATGTCACTTTGAAGCCATAGTATTTTCAGTCACCTCATATGCATGTGGAAATGGGACAGTGAATAAGGAAGACCGAAGAGGAATAGATGTATTTGAATTATGGTGTTGGAGAAGAATATTGAGTATACCGTGGACTGTCAGAAGAATAAACTGATCTGTTTTGGATGAGGGACAGCCAGAATGCTGCTCAGAAGCAAGGAAGGCAAGACTTTGCCTCTTGTATTTTGTCATGTTGCTGGGAGGGACCAGTCCTTGGAGAAGGATATCATGCTTGGTGAAGTAAAGGGTCAGCAAAAAAGAGGAAGACCCTCAGTGATATTCATTTGACACAGTGGCTGCAACAGTGGGCTGCTTAAGCATAACAAAGATTGTGAGGATGGCACAGGACTGGGCGATGTTTTGTTCTGTTGTCACCATGAGTTAGAACCGACTTGTTGGCATCTAACAGCAACAACCTGCTAGTTAGCAAGTTACTCTTTCTTCCCCTTGGTAATTATTTCTTTAAGATATTGTCGCTTTACTTTTTCTCTAATTCTGAAATTTCTGTTAGATAGATATTTAAATTTCTACTTTTATCCTCTGCATATTTTAACTGTTCTATTTTTTTCCCTTTCTTTGTCTTCTTGGAGGAGGAGTCCTTGACTTACCTGTCTAGCTCACTAATTGGTTCTTTAGCTATATCTCTTCTGCCATTAAGTGATCTGTTTTTTTTTTTTTTAATTTCGTAAGTATTTCTTTTCATACTCAGTATCTTCAGTTATTATTTATTACAACTTGATTTTTTTTTTGTTTTTCAGTATCTTCTCTTTTTGGTGAGACTATTTGTTAGGCTTATTTTGCTTGCTTCTTATACAGTAGCTTGGCTTTATTTCTTTTAGAATGCTTGTGTTATTCACATATTTTTGTCCTCCCTTCCATCTCCCCCTCAGGATATCATATTGTTTTAGGACTTGAACCTACCTTGATTCTTAGAGGACTGGGGAAGGGGAAAGTCTGGACTATAATTTGTACCATTTCAGACCAATTTAGGAAAAAGGGTGTTTCTCAAGAGTGGAGAGTTAGTGTTGCAGAGCTAGTGTTGTAGTCTGGGCTTGACTATGCTCTGCCTTTTCTCTCAGATGATATTAACTCTTCAGTGAATCTCCCATTCTCTTTACCTCAGCCACTGGTATTTTCTAGAGGATACCACCTTGGGTATAGATATCTACCAGATGTTCAGGAGAAAAGGAAAGGAGGGAGAATGCTCATGGGTGGCCAGCTCTTCTGTACAGGTTATCAGTTTTTGCCTTATCTATGTTGAACTGTGCTTGTATAAACTCATGACATCTTGTTGGGTTGATTCTGCTGCCAATCTGAAGGAAACAGAAGGGCAAAGGTTATCTTTTCCCACAAGCTATCCTGTGCTGTGGTATGGGACTTTTCCCACTTGCAATGGTTGTCTTCACTTAGTGCTAAGCACTGACCATCTTGTATTTTTCCAAGGATTTCTCAGAATTTTTTTGATAAAAATATCCAGGCTTTATTGCGTTTTCTTCTTGTCTTTCTGGCATTTTTAGGGTTTATTCTTAGAAAGAGACAATAGGCTGTACTGGTTTCCTATCTTGTTTCTTCCAGTCTTTTTTTATGCTTTTAATTACATATATAATTAATATATTTAATTACATATATATAAATTAGTATTTTTTAACATTGGAATTATATTGCATATTTTGGTGTCTAGTTTATTATTATTTTTTTTAAGCAATAAGTCTTACAAACTTCCATGTCAGGATAACCTGTAGTGACTCTTAACTTAAAGTCAAGGAGAAGAGGACAGTTTGTACTTAACAATGTAAGAATATAAAACTTTCTATATATGACCTTAAGTCAGTTTACTTTCACTATAAATTTCAAATAAAGTTCCTTCCAGGTTGTTTTTTTATTGTTTTTATCTCTGTCTCATGATTCTAAGTATTATTTACTTAATTTTTAAGGTTGAGTGCTCAATATACTGCTTTTGGGTTTCTGGGATCTTATGCTTGAATTCCATAATCCCCAGTTAATAATGTATCTTTCTGCAGGATTTGTCAGCCTCCTTAGAAGCAGTGTATGGACAGGCCAAAGAAGGGACAGACTCTGAAGAAATACTTAAGAAATTCTATGCATGGAAGTGTGGTAAAAGAGAGGAGTTAACCAGCATTAGAAATGAAACACAGGCTTCTCTACAACGTCTTGTAGGATGGTTCTACAGCACCTTAAAGGTATTAAGAGCTTCCAGTGGTGATTGTAGCATAAACCAAGGACTGTGTTCCTTTTAAATTTTCCAAATGTAATTTAATTCTTTTCTTTGAGAGAAGAAGGGGAGAGAGGGAAAAGGGAAGTAGGGTAAAAAGAGATGAAAGTGGGAAATAGAAAGGAGGAGGGCATGTGTATATGTGTATGATTGGATGGAGGAGTGAAGGATTTATATTCCATTTAAGACATAAATGAAAACAAAACTTAATCAGCATGTAATCATTATATGATATTACTGTAGTTTATTACAAGTATACTGTTTATTTTACAAGAATAATGTTAGACGTAAGAGTAAGTGTATGTACATGTGCTTTACAGCATAGTAGAGCTTTTGTCTTTATTTTGGTATCTTTTTTTTAGCAAGAGATATATATTTTAACATTCAGTGACTAACTAGCCATGCTTAAAATAATATTTTCTTAATTCTTTGGCAGTGTGTAACTCTTAAGTTTTAGCCATCTTAAAGATATCTCAAATAAATGGGGAACATTAGTGTCGGTTGATATTAGATCCTTAAAAAGATCTTTTATTTGTTTATTTATTTTGGTTCTTATTTGTTATCAGTAAAGATGCCATATAATTTTCCAAGAAGCTTGGGGGCATCTACTTCTGCATAATACATATTCAGAACCATAATTGAGCTTTGGCCTAATTTGTTTTTTGATTCTGTGCTATTCTGCCTGCTTTATAGCTTGCTCTGAAAAGGTAAGGACAACCATGCTGTCATCTGTCTAACCTATGGAGACTTCCAAATATACATTTCTAGCTTTGTTTTTTTGGGAAAAATCCTTTAATCCCTAGCTACTTCTCATTTTTGGTGCTTTCTTGATGATACCTTAACATAACGTATTTTTTTGCCTTTCTCTTGTTGTTAATCATAAGTTTGGTTCTGTTCAGGTTAGTTATCAAGTTGTGGCTGTTTTCCCTTCCTTTCGATTTTCCATAGCTGTTTTCCTAATCCATATCTCCATAATCACAACACTGAATCTGAAATCAGAGTGACTACTTGTACCCGTGAATTCTATATCTTATATTTTGGGTCCCTGATTTTATTCTATTTAACACCTTATTATAAACTTTATTTCCTGGTAGAAAATATCTTTGCTTTCCCGATGAAATGGGAATCATTCTGTGTTTAATTTTTAATTTTTAATCTCCAGATTCTTAAATACTAATAAGTCATTAGCAAGTACCGTATATAACCATATACTTTCTTGTTCAAGAGATGATACTGTACATCTACTACCTCTCAGATTTAAAGTTGCCATCTGATTATCCCAAGTTCTTTATTAGCTTTTAGTCAGACTGCTTCTTTTACTCTTCTTAAAAATCATCTTCTTGGCCTTGTCCTTGTTTTTCCTCCTACTTTTTGTCTGGATATTCTTCTCTCCACTCTTAACCACAAATTATTTAAAAAATACAAGGCTTCTTTGTTGTTATGTGCCGTCGAGTCGAACCCGACTCATAGCGACCCCTCCTTGGGTTTCTGAGGCAGTATCACTACGGAAGTAGATTGCCCCATTTTCCTTCAGAGAGGCTTCTTTAGGTGTGTGAAATTTTTTCTCACACATCTAAAGATACATAAGTTTTTTAAGGGTAGGTATTTTATCTTTCTTGTGTACACTTGTATTCCTCACATTGCCCAAGTGCATAGGCTAATGCTTTATTCCTAGCTCTAAAGATACAGTGGATGTTAATTGAATTAATTATATGTGATATTTTATGTTTTTATATTTGCAAATGAGGTTTTTGATCTAACTGCGGAAGAATCACTGACTGCTGAAGACACAATTGATAATGTTGATGAAATCCTAGAGAAGACTGAGTCAAGTGTCTGCAAAGAGTTGGAAATGTCTTTGAATGTGAGTATTCATAGTATATTAATGCTTCCTTTGAAGCAATATGGTTTTTCTTGCTTATTAGAAAATATTAACCAATAATAAAGGCTTTTTGCAAGTTAGAAAATATTAAGACTAGTTTTAGCTTTCTTCTTATTGATCTGTTTAAAGTAGACTTACTTCAAGTAATCTTAAATGTGAAAATTTTGTTCTTCACAGGGTGACATTTTAATTTTAATAGAGGAATTTCACATTAAGAAAAACAATCTAATGTTTAGTGTACCTTTTAATCTAAATGGATCAGGTTTCTATATCATTTGATCTTGGATCCATCATACTCATTGACTAAAAGAAAAGACTCTTTAAAATTTGTGAAAATTTGCAGTGAAATCTGTGAGAGTTCTGGAAGTAGACAAGCAAGATTAATTAATATACCCCTTTCTCTGTTGTGTATATTCTGTATTGCTGTGTCAAGTTAAAAATTAGTGTAACTCTTCAGAAGAGCATTTTGTAATTTTAATATTGCTCATTAGAGTTCTTTCCCAGTCATTTAGTCTGCTTTTCAGAGACTTAGGGGTCATGTTTTATTTTTCATTTTGCTTATTAAAATTTTATTCCTATTAGCATTAAAAAAAACACATTATGCACTACTGTATTACCTTCTTTGTCAGATATTCTTGATTTAGGTTGTTTACTGAGATTTGATTTTAGAAGTAGTTATTTAATAGATATACTCACTTCTGTTGAGTCGATTTGACTCATAGTGACCCCTCCTTGGGTTTCCGAAGCAGTATCTCTACAGAAGCAGATTGCCCAATCTTCCTACTGAGGAGTGGCTGGTGGGTTTGAACTGCCAGCCTTTTGGTTAGCAGTCGTATGTCTTAGACATTACACCCCCAGAGCTCCTATTTAATAGATGGTTTCTAAAATTAATATTAGATGTTCTGTATTGTTTATTATATTTAGTATATCAATATCCCTCATTTTCTTTAATGGTATACTCCAAACAGCTTCAGGAATAACAATGTAATGGTAAGAAATTTCCCATATGAACATCTTTGATTTGTCAGTCTCTGTCCTACGCAGGAAGAGATTTGTGTTTAAGAAATATTTTGAAATGATACAGAATTTGTCAAAGGGATCATCCCTGAAGGCTATCCATTGTTACAAAAGTTTTTAACTATTTTGGATACTCCTTTGTGTGTAATTCCATGTGTTTTATTTCATTTAGGACCAAGGTGATGCAGGCAAGGAGATAATTTTAAATACGTATAGTCAAGTACTGCAAAAGATTAATTCAGAAGAAAGGCTCATTGCCATAATACAATCTAAGTACAAGGACAGTGTTGAGGTTGGATTATACTTTCTCTTACTGTTTTTAAAGATTAATGCTTTCCATTTTTTAATACATATATTTTTCTCCAGTAATTTAATACCTTGTTTGTAGGTAAGTTATTTTTACTAGAAAAATAGTATAACTATTGCTAGTGATAATTAAATTCATTTTACAGTAGAGACGTTGACTTTTTTTGATACAAGTATATTGAGATTCAGAGTCTGACGTTCTTTGATTTTCTTATGTCCTTTAACATATAACTTTTATCCTAATTTTCTGCCTCTACAGGTTTACTGTAGAAAATTTGCTGTATACAAAAAGATAAAAAGAAATTAAAAAAATATTTATAATCCCCTTAGCCTAAGAAATAGTCAGTGTCAGTTTAAGAGTATTTCCTTTTGACTGGTTATTTATATGGATGCATATGTATTATATGCATTGCATTGTTTGTAAGCTACTTCAAAAATATTTTCTTCACTTAATGATACATTGTGACTGTCTTCCTATGTGACTAATGATTCTTCCCTAATGCATTTGGAGTGGCTAAATCATTATCCCTTGTATGGTATGTACAACATTATTTAACCTTTCATCTGTTGGACATTAAGGTCATTTCCAATTATATTCTACTATAATTAACACTGTACGTAACATCTATACATATTTTTTAGTGTACTTCCTGAGAATAGATTCCTAGAAATGTAATTAGTAAGTCAAAGGAATGAACATTTTTAAAACTTGTTGTTGTTGTTGTTATGTGCTGTCGAGTCGGACCCGACTCATAGCCATCCCTCCTTGGGTTTCAAAGGCAGTATCACTACGGAAGTAGATTGCCCCATCTTCCTTCCGAGGAGTGGCTGGTGGGTTGGAACCGCCAGCCTTGTGATTAGCAGTCAGTGCCTTAGGCATTTGATACATGTTGTCAAACTGCTTTGGGAAAGGTGATTTCAATTTACATTATCAGTAGCAATTCTAATTTAAATCCTAACAGTGCATGTCTCACTGTACTTCTCAGCTTGACATATTTGGTGTTTATCTTTTCATTTTGATTACTGGAACTGATAATTCTTCTAAATCGAATTCAATTAGTAGAAATCAATTAGTAGAATTGTTTTGTTAAAAATTGAAGCTCTCTTAATGTTTCAATTTGAACTCATTAAGTTGAATTTTGATAGAGAAATGATAAATGGTCAGTAAGCTGACTGATATGTTTGAAAATATAGTAACTTCTTTTTCTCATTTAGTTTAAGAAGCAGATGACCGAATGGTTAAATAAAAGTCCCAATGTGGATCATTTGCTCTCCATTAAGAAGACATTGAAAGGCTTGAAAGCTCGACTGAGATGGAAGTTGGTTGAAAAGAATAATTTGGAAGAAGTAAGGAAACAGTTGCTTCTTATAGAACTTTAAATTTCATTTTACTTAGGGTCTGTTTCATAAAATTAACATATAAGTGGATTCTTTAAGAAAATCATTAGTCATAATATTTTATATACTTTTTTCCCTCCGTGTATGTAAATAAGATTGTGATTACAGCAATAATATAACTACTAACTCTTGTATGGTATGTCAATTAAATGTTTTTTAAAAGCAGTTTTTATGCCTACTTTAGTTTTTGGTAATATGGGCATTTTAGAATAATTTTTAAAACTCTATTGGTCTGCCCTGTTATAACGGTCATTATGATACAAGCCTACTTACATGCTAATTTATGGAGTCATAGTCCCTGAATAGTGCAAACAGTTAAGCACTCAACTGCCGGCTGAAAGGTTAGCAGTTTAAACCCAACCAGAGGCACCTTAGAAGACAGGCTGGTGCTTCTGAAATATTGCAGCCTTAAAAAAACCCCCTATATATCAGTTCTGCTGTACACACGTGGGGTCACCATATATTGGAATTGACTCAACCACAACTAGCAGCAGTATATGCAAATGATAGGGTGATTCCTCAAAGGCAGAATAAATATTGTCAGATAATATGTATTTTTAAGACCATGATGTCTTTTGCTGACTTTCTTTTTATGGCTGGATATACTATTTTTTACAGATATTTTAAGTTGTGTTTATAAGATAATAGAACTGGATGGATTAGGATGCTTTTAATCTGGACTAAATTTCTTCCTTAGGCTTGAAACTTTGTAAATAAGCTGGCAATTTCATGTGTTCTCTTGAGAATTCAATTTAAGTACAAAAAGGATCTATCTGTGTTATGTCTTAATCTAATTTGAATTAACTCTTTTCCTCTTCTGAGCACTTGGGGGTGGTGTAGGTGCTCCTTCAGAACTAATAGTGTAAGGTTTACTCAGTTAGATCCTATTTTGGGCTGTGGGGAATGTGATCTTCTTTAGTTTGATTTTTCACCTTTTGGAGAATTATATCTGACTTTTAAAGTATATATATGCCTTTTAAGATGATTGATTTATTGTCATTGGAGTTTTATGGAATTTTTGTAATTACTATATTGTTTTTCCCCTACTAGGCATTCTATACATTATTTACCTTTTAAAAAAAAATCTTAATCTAGAAAATGATTCCAGGAACTTCAGTTGTGTTTTAGTGTCCTGTCTTACATTTGCCTTATAATAGCTGTTGGTCATTTTTATCTTGTAAAAATCTATGGCAAATTAGGAGACAAGAAAAAGCTATGAAATTGATTTTATGTCTTTATTTTTTGTAATTCATTTTTTGTAGATTTTGAAAGTCAGGATAAATTGATCTATATATACTACAACAAGTGTTACATGGCTCTGTTATGTGCTAGGTATTGGAGGATACATAGAATTCAGACATAGAGCAATTTGCTGTACAACTTGTACTAATTATCACTAGGAAGACTTATTTACTTTTAAACCTGCAAGATCCTTTTTTCTTTCTTCTTAAAGTCTGATGACCATGATGTATCTGAAATTGAGAAAATAAAACAAGAAATAATTCAGTTGCGCGATAGTGTCTTTCAGGAAATTTATCATGAACAGGAAGAATATGTAAGTATTTGATTCTTTGAAGTTTTGAATTAGATTTTTATCTAGAAATGAAATTCAAGTATTGACTTTATGACATGGACTATAATCACAAGGCTAGAGGTATTCTGGCAGCCTTGGTGGCACAAATAGTTAGGTGCTTGGCTACTAACCCACCCTGAAGCACCTGAAAGGAAGACCTGATATTCTGCTTCCAAAAGGTCACAGTCATGAAAGCCCTGTAAAGCATACTTCTACTGTGAAGTACATGGGATTGCCATGAGTTGGAATTGACTCAATGGTGGCAATTGGTTGTGGTGGTGATGGAGCTGCTATATTGGCATAGTCATTTTATGTGAATTTAGAAATTAATTTCTGATGACGAAATAACTCGTGATCTTTGCACCACATTTGGAAATTACAGAAAATTATAAAGAGAAAAGATATCACCTGTAACTTTCCTATTCAGTGGAACAGTGGTGATCACTGTTAACTTTTATTTCCTTTTAGTCTCCTTCTGCTTGTTTTTAGAAGAACTGAGATTATACCACAAATATACTTCTTACAAATAATTTTGTTTTGGTAAATTGTATGTAACAAAACATCTACTCTTGAACCATTTTAGGTACAATTCAGTGACATTAGTTCAATTCACCATATCGTGCAATTATTGTGACTGCCTGTTTCCAAGTTTTTCAACACCTCAAACAGAGAGCCAATTTCCCTTAAGCAGTAACTCCTCTTTCTGTTTTGCTCCAACTCCTGGTAACCTCTTTTGTCTCTATTCATTTTCCTCTTCACTACCTTTCATGAAGTGGGATCATACAATATTTGTCTTTTGTGTCTGACTTATTTCACTCAGCATAACGTTTTCATCCGTGTTGTAGCATGTGTCAGAACTTCATTTCTTTTTGTGGCTGAATAACATTCCATTTTATGGATATACCATGTTTTGTTTACCCATTCATTTGTTAATGGACACATAGGTTGTTTTCACCTTTTGGTGATCATGAATGATGCTGCAATGAACTTGTACAAGTAAGTGTTTGGGAGAGACATACTTTTGCATACCACTTTTTTTTCTTCTGTTTAACATAAAGCTATCAATGAAGGATATTTTTCTTAATCCTGTATTCCTTTTAGTGTAATGCTACAATGAAAACACTAACAGGGCAGTGTAGTTTAGTTAAAGATTATAACAAAATAAAACCACCTGGTTTTGGTGTGTGTGGGGGAAGTTTTATCTTTTCCAACACTAATTTTGTGATCTTGGGAGAATCAATCAGTGTGTTTTCTCTTTAAAATTGAAAGAATATTTTCTATACCATGAATAGGGGAAATAGTTAAGAAAAAGCATTTTGGATATAAAAATACCACCAAAATACAAGGATTTTAAATATTAAGATTTATTTAGCAAATTCATCTGACTTTGTGTAACTCATTATTGTGTGGATCCTGGGTAAAATAGCTAAATCCTAATGTCTTAACAAGTATCTAGAAGTATTGGTTAATAATATGATAACTTTTTTTTTTTTCAAGGATCCTAGAGATACACATTTTCATTTTCTTTCAAGGTTTTTGTTTCTTTTCTCTTAAATAAAACAGCCATTATTTAAAAATGTCACTGTGTTCCTGATATTTTGAGAAATGATGAATTTTATCATTCAAATTGGTGTGTTGTCATGCTTTTTGAATACAGTGGAAATAAGCTGTGGACCTTGACCTTAGGGAAGATATTTTGCTTATACATGTGCAAACCAAACCTAATCCATTGCTATTAAGTCGATTTTAACTCATAGTGACCCTATGGGACAGAGTAGAACTGCCCGTAGTATTTCCAAGGCTGTAAATATCTGTGGGAGCTCTGGTGGCATAGTGCCTAAGGCACTTCACTGCTAACCAGAAGGCTGGTGGTTCAGCCC